TATCAGTGAGAAAAGAGCCTGAAGATACAGCATCATTGTAACATTTGTTAGATGGGGTGCAAGCACCTCAGCAAAGGCTTTGTAGTACTCGGCCAAGAAGCAGTCCACACCTGAAGATTTGTGTAGAGATAATGCCTTTATTACCTCCATAACGTCTTTGGTTTCAATTGGTTTATTGAGTTGCTGAAGGGTCTCTTTATCCGCTGCTGGAAGATGTAGCTGATTAAGGAAATTTGCAATATCTATTTTTTCTGGTTGATGAGTCTCTGGATCTTTGTTAAGGTTATACAGAGATTCATAGTATTCACCAAGCGCATTAGCTATTTCCTGTGGATTATGGTAAATAGTATCCGTTTTATAATGTCTGAGCATGGAAAGCTTATAATGTGCCTGGCGTTGCTTAAGTTGCCTAGTGATAAGTTTACCCACTCTATTATTCTGAGAGTAAGAGGATAGTTTCAAACGTTCGAGGCAGTTATCATAATCTGAAATTAAAATTTGCCTTAGTTCTTCCCGACATGCAATAAGCCGTGATGGAGGGGGCTGTAGTAGTAGTATGAGAAGTTTTATGCATAGTTTCTAAGTTTTGCTATTTCCCTGAGCAACCCAGAAATTTACTGCTTTTTCTTTATTACGTTTTCTAGAGGCTAGCTGAATTAAAAAAAATTCTAGTATATGCCGTATGGGCGCACCATATCATATTAGAGGGACTAGTGTCAGTTTTGTTGAAAGAAAATAATTCTGTAATTTTGTCTCTTATTTCAAGGCAATATTGGGGGTGGGATAATAAATACATATTAAATCACCATAACACTTTAGGGGTTCTTAAGCTTATGGCTCCCACTGCTAATGTAATGAGGGCATGGTCAGACCAAGTAATATTATGAATAACTGTCTCAGTTACACATTGCAATAAATGCTTGTCTGTAAGAAAAAAATGTATTCTAGAGTAGCTATTATGCACCACAGAATAGTAGGTGAATTTCTTTTACGTGGTATGAAGACAACACCATGGGTCATAAAGATTCTCATTGAGGCAAAGCAAGCTCAGATCTTGCCTTCTCATCATAGCACAAGAAGTTGAATCCATAGCATTATTTATAACGATATTGAAATCCCCACACGTTATAATATTACCATGATTTTTTTTGTTTAGCCAGCTTCAAGACTTTACCGATAAACTTCATAGGCCTATGACTGGGGACATATACTGGTATAGTCACCAAGGTGAGCGAAGTGTTCTTAAACTCTTCCACTAAAATGATATATCTGCCCTGTTCATCGATACATTTATCCAAGTACTTAAAAGCAATTGAATCCCTTACAGCTATCAATACTCCATTCTTTTTTTAAGTGTTGTTAACTGTAAAAAAAATTTTATGAGAGCATTTTGGTGCTTTTCATTCTTCAAAATGAGTCTCCTGTATAAATAGGATGTCACAATGTTGTTGAATGGCTTCTTTCCATAAAGCTCTCCTCGTAAAAGGGCTATTTAGTCCTTTTACTTAAAAAACATTAGTTTAAGTGACATGAGACTTGTAGAGAACATTGCTGGACTGCTATCTAATGTTTTAAATTGTCTAATGGGACAACTGGATCTGTGAAGGTCATAGTTGCTGAGTTCAGTAAGTACAGCTGCAAAAGTGGAAAAGCTTCTGTACAGATCATACCGTGGAACAAATAAGAACTATATAAGTTGCAGCAAAAAATGCAAGGCTGCCTTATTCAATCCGAATGCAGGACTCCCCGCAAATAAACATTGGGGATATCAACTGCAATAAAAAAAGATACAAAAAAAATCAACATTTGTGCATTTTGAGCCTGTGCACAAACTGGAGGCAACGATAGCTTTGTACGAAGTGCGCATGTACTGTATTAATGGCTGTGTAAAGTATGAGCAGTTGTATCAATTTTTGATATTGTTCCGGTGCTTAGGATTCCTGGGCAGAGAAGGAGTATCAGTATGTCCTCCTCTTCATCCAGTAGAAGGCCCCATCTACTGAAAAGTTCCAAACCTTTACATACCGTATATGACTCATTGTTCCATTCAACCAAACGTTTAGCTGGGAATCCCCATTTATACATTATTTTTTGTGCAGAATTTTAGTGATGGTAACAAGGTTATGTCTTGCTGCCATTGTGGCTTGTGAGAGACCTGCAAACAAAAGAGACACCAGCATAAGGGTCAGGCAAAGAGGTTTGTTGCCTAGAGACTCACATAAGTTGGTCCTTTATATAGTAAAAGTGAATCCGTGCTGTAACGTCTCTCGGAATCTTTTCTGGCAAATAGACAAGTTTGGGGAGCCTATGGGCTCTGTCAATGAATATGTCATTCTGTGTTAATGAGGGGAGGATGTACATCATTAAGTTTTGCAGGTAGGGTCGCAATTCTGCAGGCTTTATGGATTCAGGAATCTCTCTAAATTTAATATTGTTCCTACGTGACCTGTCCTCCAGGTCAGCCACTTTAAGTTTGAGGGATTTAAGCTCCTCTTCAAGGTCAAAATGCGCATTGACTAGCTCATTGTGGGCCTGGGTACATTACTCCATTTTGTTCATATAATCCACTCTATTGCCAAGTGCCTCTATGTCCCTTTGTATAGATCACATAAATGCAGCCATATCATTTTGTAGTGCACCTCTAAGGGACAAAAGTGTGTCTTTTAGTGTGGTGTCAAGCACTGGCTGTCCAGTAGTGGGGAATGCATTTAGCTGTTCTTCCTATTATGTAATGTCCTCTATAACCTCTTCTCTCTGTCTCATGTCTCCCATTAGTTCCCTGTCCTCTGTTATCTTTCTCCTTTGTTTCAAAGGGCTGTTAGTTGCAGAGGGAGGATCAGCATTGTTACCTTTCTCAAGTGCTCAGATGCTGTCATGTCTCTCATTCTTCCAGACACTGCCACTGGCTGTGAGTGATCCAAGGTAATGGTGCCAGTACCATTTTGGCTGTGCCTACCCGGCACTCGGATGAAGAATTTGGTCAGCTTTCTCGGTCCTTCTCTGCTCTTTCATTTGCCCATGGTGACCAATCTCTGCACCGCTCCTTGTTCTTTCATAAGAGCTGCTTTGTGCCACTGTGCTGTTGCTGTGAGTTGCTGTGTTTCTCCCGCTGTCTCGCAGCTCCCCTCTCACACCACCATGCACTCTGCCGCTGGCTTCGCCCCCTACAGGTCATCCATTTAATGTTGCCAAGGAGTTCTGGTGCTAGAATTATTGCTCTCAATCCTGTGTGTGTTTTTCTCTTTAATTAGATACTAGGGGGGTTATTTACTAAAAATGCATGGTGCAGCTTCGGCCCCAGCTATACAGACTTGGGAAAGTGAAAATGGGACTTGGAAATTATTTTTTACATGTCGCTTCTGTGTCAGCAAGACAAAAGCGAGAAGAACAGACAAATGTTTACTATGTTCCCTCTCCTTTACCCAAAGCCACTCATCATGCCAGTTCTGGGTGTGCCAATGGGCTTGCAGAGCCCTGGATATATAACAAGTTAGGTTGGTGGCCATTACCGGGGGTGTTTAGAACCAATTTGGAAGCTGCACAGCCACCAGGTTACTTCAACCTGACAGCCAATAGTTGGCTTTTCAGATATACACACACATACATAGAGTGTGTTTAAACCCCCCTCCCCCGATGTCACCAATGTACAATGACAGTTAGGTTAAACCTGAACTCCAAGCAAACAGCAAAGCACACAGATAAAATACACATCAGATTTTTTGTTCATTTATTTCTCTGCCTCCAGTCTTGAAATTTACACAGTTCTGCTACTCTGCTACACAGTCCAGCACTGCATGCTGCATTTGAGTAACAGGTTTTGTCCTTCCCCTTGTATGTTAGTGAACAATGAAAGTTTAAGCAGCAGAATGATGAGCTCATCTCTTTATTACTTTGATTGGTCCCTTGTGCTGCTTCTCACACTGCAAGTCTGAGTTCTACTATGCAGGTAATTACAAGAGGATAATATGAAGTCAAGTATTCAAAAAGGTTTGAGTCATAAAAAAATTCTAAATGGAATTTAAAAGTTCCAAAATGGAGACACATGTTTTAAATATTATCATTTTATTACTAGCAATATTTAAAACATATTGGACCCAATGGTCCCGAAAAATAAATCCCAGCTTGATGCAACAAATTCATACACGTAAATACAGTAGATTATGTTCCAGACGGAAAGCCTAATATTTTTCACATACTACATATACAGTATATTACAAATGGCAGCCACATACAGTAAGTGGCACCCATATATAAACTATATTTCCAAAAGTATTGGGACGCCTGCCTTTACACGTACATGAACTTTAACGGCATCACAGTCTTAGTCAGTAGGGTTCAATATTGACTTGGCCCACCCTTTGCAGCTATAACAGCTTCAACTCTTCTGGGAAGGCTATCCACAAGGTTTAAGAGTGTGTCTATGGGAATGTTTGACCATGCTTTCAGAACTGCATTTGTGAGGTCAGGCACTGATGTCGAAGGAGAAGGCCTGGCCTGCAGTCTCTGCTCTAATTTATTCCAAAGGTGTCCTATTGGGTTAAGGTCAGGACTGCAGGCCAGTCAAGTTCCTCCACCCCAAACTCACTCATCCACGTCTTCATGGACCTTGCTTTATGCACTCATGTGCAGTCATGTTGGGGCCATCCCCAAACTGTTCCCACAAAGTTGGGAACGTGAAATTGTTCAAAATGTCTTGATATGCTGACACCTTAAGAGTTCCATTCACTGGAACTAAGGGGCCATGGCCAACCCTTGAAAAACAACCCTACACCATAATCCCCCGTCCACCAAACTTTACGCTTGGCACAATGCAGTCAGGCCAGTACCATTCTCCTGGCAATTGCTAAACCTAGACATGCCCATCGGATTGCCAGACAAAGAAGCGTGATTTGTTCCTCCAGAGGACACTGCTCAAGAGTCTAGTGGCAGTGTGCTTTACACCACTGCATCCGTCACTTTGCATTGCACTTGGTGAATTAAGGCTTGGATGCAGCTGCCCGGCCATGGAAACCCATTCCATGAAACTCTCTACGGACTGTTGTTGTGCTAATCTGAAGGCCACATGAAGTTTGGAGGTCTTTAGCTATTGGCTCTGTAGACAGTTGGCGACTTCTGCACACCATGCGTTTCAGCATGCGCTGAGCCCACTCTGTAATTTTACGTGGTCTACCACTTTGTGGCTAAGTTGCTGTTGTTCCCAGTTGCTTCCACTTTGTTATAATACCACTAACAGTTGACTGTGGAATATTTAGTAGCAAGGAAATTTCACGGATGGACTTATTGCACAGGTGGCAACCTATCACGGTACCATGCTTGAATTCACTGAGCTTCTGAAAGTGACCCATTCCTTCACAAATGTTTGTAGAAGCAGTCTGCATGATTTTACACACCTGTGGCCATGGAGGTGATTGGAACGCCTAAATCCAATGATTTGGAGGGGTCTCCCAATACTTTTGGCAATATAGTGTATGTTACTTAATTAAGTTGTAAGTGATGAGATAGCTTTCCATAGTATGGACATGTTTCACAGACAGAGTCTGCTTCCTGAGGGTGGAACATTATTACCTTTAAAGATAAGTTCTCCTTTTGTAACATGTTATATGTTACACCCACATGTTACAGATGCACCGGCCTCCTCCACTCCTCCCCGCCGATCCCCCATTTTGACAGCTAGCAGGGATTCCCCCCCCCCCCCCCGGCTGTCACAATCTTAAAAAAATGCAGCTTTGCGAGGCTCCGCCCACCTGCCTGCATCATTCATTTACAGTATTCTTGGAGCTATCAACTTATAATTAACTACTAGAGCACTGTTGAGCTCTCTAGGGAGTTCACTGTCATTGTGTAACTGCTTGCCCATAACGGAGGTACAGGTAGACAGCAACACAGACAGTCTGCAGGACCATTGTGTTACACCCACGATCTGATGATCATGGATGCAATGCTTTACAGGCTTCTAACAAAAAAAAAAAATGTATATTTTTTACTTTAAAAAAAATGTGCATTTATTATTTTTTTGTAAAGGTGAACTTATCCTTTAAAGCACTTTTCAGCTACAGTTTGGAAATGCTGAACAGAAATCTTAATGAAAGTGCTTACTGCCATTTTAAAACAATTGATCTCATGATTAACCCCAAAATAATTTACAAACTTTTAACTAACAAATTTCTCATGTGTAAATTTAATATGTTTCTTTAAGTGTATTCTTAACATTCCCTTACTAAGGATGAAGAAGGTTGCTTTATGGCCATTAGAAAAGCTGCTTGAAATACACTAGGTGCACTTCCTTGCATTAACAAGTGAAGATTAAACAATGTTAATTAAATAATTAATTGTGTAATCCTATGAAATTCAGTTACACTCATTTAATTTGAGCTTATCATGCTCCTTGAAGTCAAAAAGGTACATCTCATTTGCTGCACTGCTGTAAAGGAAGCAACATCAGACATATAGTATAGGCAGTATATAGCAAATATGGCAATATGTATACAGTATATACTGGAAAATGCGGGCAGTGCAGAATTTGTTAAGCACGCACATAGGCAAAAACATACAAACTTTTTTGTTTACAGAAAAAAATCCACAATATCGGCCATAGCTTTGGAAGTGTATCCCACTTAACATACACAAGGTTAACAAATGCCACACATGATAAACACAGTACATTTACTGACTACAATCTCCCAAATCAGGATTGATAATGTAACATAAATGTGTAACATAGATGTAGAGTAGACACATGTTAAAACCAAGGAAGTCAATGAATTCCATAAAATAACCCCCCTGAGAGACAGTAGGTAGACGTTCAGCACCAAAGCATGTGCAGAGATTCCATAGGGCACTTCAAAATTTATGAATAATGGCTCTGACCACTGCCACTGCCACTAGGCCATGTTATCCTTATTGAATAATTTGTTGTAACTTACAGGTTTAATAAAACATAGTTAAGGTCCATCTGATTTGCCCTGAAGAAGTGCAAGTCTCAAAGTGTGTTGCGCAGAAGTTTTTCTATTTTACACATTTATGTTTCATTATCAATCCCAATTTGGGAGATGGTAAGATCAGAAGATGCACCGTTTAGTATTTATGGTAGTTGTTAACTTTGTGTGTAAGGGAATTCCGGTATGGCAACTGGCGCATAGAAATGCGCATGTGCACAACATCGTGCACAGAAATGAGCACAGGTGCAGTGCTAAAGAAAATGAGCATAGGCTCGCGCATGCACCAGATGGACTATTTAAAGCAGGCTCTTACTCTCTGTCAGTGTTGACTGGTCTTCAGCTATTTCCCTGTGTCCTGGTGTATCCTGTGTGTATCTGTTACAGAACCGGCTTGCCATTGACCTGCTCTTGGATTCTGTTTATGCTTCTGCTCATCAGTTTCTGATCCTGGCTTCCTCCTGACCTCGTCCTTGTCTGATGTTCCGGTACTTCATCGCCTGCTCATTGCTGACCCTGGCTATTACTCTGACTATGCTTCCTGCTCCAGTTTGGCTCTACAGTCCTGCCGAGTGCTTGTTCTGGCTATCTATTATATCAGCTCTGGATGTCATGGTGTGTTCCGCCCTTACTCTTATCAGAAGTTCCGGCAAGCCATGTACCCAGATATTGCAGTTCCAGTGGAGTGCTTCCTTAACCTCAGTTGGCCGGTTCTGGCATCTCCTCTGTTCCTGACTGGATGCCCTGCTTGATTTACCAAGGTTACACCTACAGCTCCATGTTCTGCAATCAATATCCACAGGCACTCGTGTTTCTCCTGTCCCTCGGCACCATCTGTTCCACCTTCAGTGGGGCCTGGGTTGAAGATACAAGAGAGGCTGACTTGTCAATTCAGACTTCTATCAGGTACGTGACATTGTGTATGTTCCATGGGATACACTTCCAGAACTACGACCGATAGTGTGGATTTTTAGCTGTAAACAATAAAGTTTATATGGGTTTTAACCTTTTTCTTTCTTTTTGTTTATTTGTGTGCCCCCAAAATCCCCACCACCTACATTTTCCAGTTTGTATATCAGCCTTTTTTGGGGTAGAGGCAGTTTACAAACACACCTTATATTATATGGCAAATATGTAATTATACCAATCAACAGGAACAAGATTATATCTAAAATGTAGTCATGAATCAAATAAGAAAATTATATACTGTATCCCAATAAAAATCTCTATTATCAGTTTAATTTCTATTACTGTTAAATCATTTAGCACTTCTGTGAAAGTGGATTGTACTTGAAGGCCAATGTTGTTAACCATCGTTAACTGAATTAGCAGCATTTTTATGTAAATTGCCAGACAAAAATTAGTAAGACTAGCTGTGCTCTAAATAAATATCTATTCTGTTGATTCTCCCTGGTGCTGACCTTTTTCCTGCAAGCAAAATTCTGAGATCATTTCAGGCAAGTTGTAATTAATGCAAACAAACAGCCTTTGAACTTTTCATTTACTGCAAGCATACATTATAGACACTGAAGCTTGTGAAGTTTAAAGACTGATAATTCCATACACATTAATGAAGATTCCATTCCTCCCAATCTGGTATTCAACAAGCCTTTTAAACATTTCATTAAATATTTGGGAAACCCATAGTTAACACACATTATTATGTAAATTGCTTTTCTGTAAATATGACTCTTTTATTACCTCCAGGTTCAAGGAGCATGTCACAAGTATGTCAGAAGAATATAAATCACGGGCCCTGCTCTATAACATGATGAGGATGGAATAGCTATTGCCATTGTTAGGGTCCCTATCCAGATGACACTATTATATCCATAGCATACATACTTAAGCAAATACCCTACCTATAAAACTCATTTTTTCTGCTAAAGAAATGATTGTTGAAAGGGGCTTATGAATCCTGTGTGCGGGCCATGTTTACCCACAGAGGAATACACAGGTGCTGCATGTTTTCCCATGTAGGTAGTCCCATTTCTGTCAATTGGGACACAGCGGCTGCATGGACACAGCTGCTGCTCCCAATGTGACATTCATGTGAATGCGCTTGGGACCATGCACCCACACAGAGCAGCATCTGTATAGTTGCAGCTGCTGTGTCTCAGTTGACAGGAATTAGACTGCCTGCACATAGATACATGGAACACCTGTGCATCGGCATGCGGGTAAACCTAGCCCTCGCACAGGGTATGGATTCCTATTCCCCATGTGAACAAGGTCTTAGAGGGTATCAAAGGGCAACAAAATATATGCAATTTTTTTTAAATAACGTGCTTGGGGGATGAAGTCTGTACATGTATTTATAGAACATTAGGACCTTCGTAGACAGCATCAGCAACACCGTAATCTGGAATCACATAAATTGCATGTCTGTTAATTTACTTTACTTTTACATAATTGCTTGGCTTACATGCAGGAGCAGCAACTCAAAAATGATAGATTTTCTACCCAAAAAAAATTGTAGTAGGTAGTTTCCGCAAAACAACTAACTTTTTGTGTAGTTGTTGGAAATAGCAGAGGCAACGCAACAAAAAAACAATATAAAGGTATATACTTTAAAAAGAAGCTAAAATTAACTAACTTATAAATGGGCAAAACAAGTCAGAATATAACTTGTGATCTTCTATTCAGTAACACATTGTGGGTGTACAACCCACATTGCATAATTTAGGCAGTTATAACAAACAAGAAAAAAAAAAATTACACTATCATTTTTCAGAGACAAACACAAAACCATTTAACACAGCAGTTGCAGAGTATGCAAGGAGTTTGACAACACTGAGTTTGAGTCATGCAACACTGTACCCAAATTTATTTGTTATTTTTTTGAAGACAGATATACTGTAGCTTTTTTTAAATGGTTTTTAAATCACTGCTAGGTTGCTTTTCTACATAAAGGAAAAAAGACCAAACATTTTTTCCTAACAAACAGATCCTGTAGGTGTATATTATTTAGTCTCTGAGAAAGTTATAGTCTGCAAACCATGGTATATACAGTATATTTGAAAACTGATTAACTGTTATATTCTGACTGCTTATCTAATTTTTTGATGGCCTAAAATGCTAAAGCAGTACAAATACACTCAAGCTGGCCCATTTTTTGAAAGTTGACAGTCCACGTTTTTTTTTAGTAATAGGCATAATGAGTTTTTTTTAAGTCATTTTTTTCCAATTGTTTTTGCAAAAAATAAAGCAATTTTTTTTCACAAAGTTGTTATTTTAGCAAGTTAAATCTCATACACAGCATATGCATACTTATAACTACACCCCAAAACACATTCTGCTATTCCTCCTAAGTATGTATGAGACTTTTTCACAGCCAACCACATAGAGAAGTTAAAAATCCAAGGATCACCTTCAGGCTTTCTAGGGCCATAAATTAAACATCTAATTTCCTGACTATTACATTTTTAAAGGCCCTTGAGCAC